CTCAGGCAATCCACTCACCTCAGCCTCCCAAAGGCATGGGATTACAGGCTGAGCCACCGAGCCCGGCTATTTTCCCACAATCTTGCTGATGCCTGGTGTGTCTCTTTTAATTCCAGCCCTTCTGGTACAGGATGTTTCATTGTGGCTTCCCTTGCATTTCTCTGATGACCATTGATGTTAAGCACCTCTTCCTGTGTTTATTGGCCATTTTTACATCGTCTTTTGTGAACTGTATGTCCAAGTCTTTTATCCATTTTTAAAAACAAGTTGTCTATCTTTTTCTTATTGATTTGTAGGAATTCTTTATATATTCTGGATATAATTGTTTATAAAATATAAATGACTTGCCTTTCTGAACTTGTCCTTTCATTCTCTGAGTGGCAGCTTTTGATGATCACAAGTTTTTGTTTTGTTTTGTTTTGTTTTGCTTGAGTTGGAGTCTCACTCTGTTGCCCAGGCTGGAGTGCAGTGGCATACTCACAGCCACCCCAGCATCGACCTGTTAGGCTCTGGTGATCCTTCCTCCTCAGCCTTCCAAGTAGCTGGAACTACATGTGTGTGCTCCCATGCCTGGCTAATTTTTTTTTTAATTTTAGAGATGAGGTTTCACCAAGTTGCTCAGGCTGGTCTCAAACCCGTGGGCTCAGGCAATCAACTCACCTTGGCATCCCAAAGTGCTGGGATTACAGCCTGAGCCACCAAGCTTGGCCTGTTTTTTTTTTTGAGTCGGAGTCTTACTCTGTCACCCAGGCTGGAGTGCAGTGGCACATTCATGGCTACTATAGCCTCAACCAGGTGATCCTTCTGCCTCAGCCTTCCAAGTAGCTGAAACCACAGGCACTCACCACCACGCCCTGCTGATTTTTTACTTATTGTAGAGACGAGGTCTTGCCATGTTGCTCAGGCTAGCTTCAAACCCCTCAACTCAGGCAATCCTCTTGCCTCTGCCTCCCAAAGTGCTGGAATTACAGGCATGGATGAACACAACTTTTTAATTTTAATAACTCCAATTCATCAGTCTTTTATTTTGTATGGTCAGTATTTTTGTGACCTATTTAAGAAATCTTTGTCTATTCCAAGATCATTTTCTTCTAGAAGCCTTACTGTTGTAGCTTTCACTTTAGGTCTATGATCCTTCTTGAATTAGTATTTTTTTTTTGAGTTGGAGTCTCACTCTGTCACCCAGACTGGAGTGCAGTGACCGCTCCCGGCCACCACAGCCTCAACCTGCTGGTCTCCGGCGATCCTTCTGCCTCAACCTTCCAAGTAGCTGGAACTACAGGCGTGTACTACCACGCCCGGCTAATTTTTTATTTTATTGTAGAGATGAGGTCTCACCAAGTTGCCCAGGTGGGTCTTGAACCCAGAGGCTCAGGTAATCCACTCACCTCAGCCTCCCAAAGCGCGGGATTACAGCTGAGCCACTGAGCCCGGCTTGAATTAGTTTTTGTATATAGTGTGAGTCTCAGCCTTGTCTCCCCATATGATGTCTTGGACCCAAATTACCCGCCTGCACATCCATCTGGTAATTGGCAAACCCTGAGGTGGGCTAGAGACTGCCAGGGAGGGGCAGGTTATCCATGGAGCTCAGCGTCATCTATTGGCTAAATCCCGCTGTGGTGCCTGGCTGTGAGAGAAGCAGAAACAGCCCTTCACTAGCAGCCACTGTTGTCAGAATTTTCATCAGCCCTTACGATCTCAGTCCCCTGATACCTGCATAGGCCAAGAGTTCATGGCCCTCAAGAGTCCTGCACATGAACCCTGGTGAGTGAGGGAATGGATGAATGAATGAATGAAACAATGTAGAGAACCGTGTTTATATTCAGTGTCCCGCGCTTTGAGTGAGCCTCTCTAGCTAGGTTAGGGGTTGAGGGTCTGGTCGATGGAAGCCTCTGACAGCTCCTCTTGGGTTTTCCTGTTTCAGTGCAGTTGCTCCTGGACCACGGGGCCGATCCCAACCAGCGAGATGGGCTGGGGAACACGCCACTGCACCTGGGTAAGTAAGCCAACTTCTCTGCAATGTAGACAGGCTTCTTAGATGGAGATCCTGGGGTCCTGCAGGCTCCCAGCAGTATTTCCCAGTGTCCAGGGAGATTTGAGCCCCCAGTTTATGTTCCCTGGACTTTCCAATCACTCAGCAGTTGACTGCTCTCCGCAGAGCTGATTTAGCAACCTAGATAAGCTCAGTGGCACCTCTGCTGGAGAGGTGTGATGTGAGACCTTGGCTGGTTCCAACCCTGTCACTGATACAATGTGACTCATAGTGAGGCAGGTCCCATCTCCAGGCCTGTTTTCCCAGCTGTACAGGGAAGGAGTTGGATTTGATTGCTGAGTCCTGCTCAGCTATTGCCTTGATAGTACCTTCTCAGGAGGTATACCTTGGTGCAGGCATACTAGAAGACCCAGCCCTGCTTCCTCCAGTGGCCACAGGGAGCCAGGCCACATTGGTTCTGGATTCTTTTTTTTTTTTTTTTTTGAGTTGGAGTCTCACTCTGTCACCCAGGCTGGAGTGCAATGGCACGCTCACAGCCACTGCAGCCTTGACCTCCTGGGCTCAGGCGATTCTTCTGCCTCAGCCTTCCAAGTAACTGGAATTACAGATTCATGCTACCACGCCTGGCTAGTTTTTGTGGTTTATTGTAGACATAGGTCTCTCCACGTTGCCCAGGCTGGTCTTGAACCCCTGGGCTCAGACAGTCCTCTTGCCTTGGCATCCCAAAGTGCTGGGATTATAGGCTGAACCACTGCATCCAGCCAGTCCTGGATTCTTGTCTGTTCTTCTTCCTCAGCGGCTTGTACTAACCACGTCCCTGTCATCACCACACTGCTACGAGGAGGTATGTGGTCCCTTCCTCTTCTCCTTCTTTTCTCTCTCCCTCACCTCCAGTACATTTACCTCTCCTGTACCTGCAGGGGCCCGTGTAGATGCCCTGGACCGAGCTGGTCGCACACCTCTGCACCTGGCAAAGTCGAAGCTGAACATCCTGCAAGAGGGCCACTCTCAGTGCCTGGAAGCCGTACGGCTGGAGGTGAAGCAGGTGGGTATCCCCTGCTGTGCTGAGCCCATGGCACCAGGCCAGCACTGGACAGATGCTACCTTCACCACAGACACACCTGCCTCTGGTCCCAGGGCTCCTGGGTCTTGTGAGCATCTGCTCCACTGTACCTCTTGGCAGCAGCCTCAGGCCTCCATGCCTCCTAACTACATCCCAGACAGCTCAACTTGCCCTCTTGTTCCAGATCATCCATATGCTAAGGGAGTATCTGGAGCGTCTGGGACGGCACGAGCAGCGGGAGCGGCTGGATGACCTCTGCACCCGCCTCCAGATGACGAGCACTAAAGAACAGGTGAGCCACATCCACAGGTCCCGACCTAGGCAGGGATCTCAGGGCTAGTCCACCCCTGCTCTGATGCAGCCAGACATTCGTATCAGAAGAGACTGTGGGCCATTGCCTTGCTGAGCTAAGGTGTGGTTATGTGTTCTTCGAGCTATGGCCAGGCCATGTTTTCCTAAGCTTTGGCCCCCTCCCCTACTTTGGGGAGGTGAATCTCCTCTTTCTCTCTTTCTAATTTACTTTTTAAATAAACGATATTTTCTAATCTTGAAAAAAAAGAGGCTGTGACTGCGGGGTTGCAGCACACTGTGGCCCTCAAAGCCTGGGTCCACTTCCTTTGAAGCTGCCTGTGGCTAGTGTATGCTTATGGCCCCTCCTTCTGGGACAGCCAAAGACCACCTGCTGTCAAGTATTAACCCTTAGTCAGCTGTTCCATAATCAGAGAGAAGCCACCACATGCCCTGGGAGAAGAGACAGTCTGGTGTTCTAGGCCTGTGGTATCACAGAGGAGACCCAGGGCCCTTGGCACCCTGTAACAGAGCCATGGTTTTGTCCTACAGGTGGATGAAGTGACCGACCTCCTGGCCAGCTTCACCTCCCTCAGTCTGCAGATGCAGAGCATGGAGAAGAGGTAGCAGCAGAGGCTCCCTGCCTTCCTGCTCAGCTACTGCCCCATCCCTGCCCTCGCTGCTCTCTCGTTACAGAGAGAAAACCCAGCATCTGGGACTTTGGCGCTCCACTGGTCTGGTGAGGACCTTGCCCTCACCCAGGATGCTATGGGGCAGAGAGGCTCTGTCCACGACCTCACAACCACTCCTAGCTGCAGTCTCTATCATCTCGTAGATGATCGTAGCCCAAGCTTTTTCCTCCAACTCCTGCAGTGTTAGGCCCGCTCATGGGCCACACTTTATCTGTGTCCAACCTGTGCTGTTCCAGCCAACCTCACTTACCCTTTGGCTTCCCCAGCACCCTCACCAGGCCCCAACCCTTCTCTTCTGTGTTCCTTCCAGGCTATGGGCTTGTGCATTCACAGGTGTGGGCTTAGGCAGGTACCTTCTGGCCAAGGGACTGCCATGGGGGCCTCTTGATTGCCTCTGGCCCTAATACCTCTCACCAGCACTTAGATTTAGACTTGTTGCCAGACTTTCAAGGATGCAATGCAGCAAATTTCTCTGGTTTGTAGGGGAGGGTTGATGAGGCTTAGACCTTAAAAATACAAGGACCCCAAAGCAAAAAAAATCCAACCCTTTTTCTCTCAATCATTGAAACACCAGGAGGGTGTAATAGTTGTGCAACCTGATTGTAGCAGGCTGATAGTGACCCCGAGATGCCTAATCCTAGGACCCTCCTGTGGCCATTACCTTATATGGCAAAAGGGGCGTTGCAGTTAAGGATCTATAGTTGGGAGGGTGAGTGTGGATTATTCCAGGAGACCTGAAGTGATTGCAGGGATCCTGTAAGAGCAAAGCAGGAGATGGGGGAGGAAGCAGGAGATGCAGTAATGGAAGAAAGAAGCTGGAGGAACTCGAGACGGGCACGAGCCAGGAATGCAGGCCGCCTCTGGAGCTAGGAAGTGGATTTTCCCCTCAGAACTTCAGAAGGAACCAGCCTTGCTGACACCTTGACTTTAGCTCAGTGAGACTGATTTTATAACTCTTGCCTCCAGAGTGTAAGAGAATAAACTTGAGTTATTTAAGTCTATGTTTGTGGCAATTTGTTGTAGCAACAACAGGAAACTAATGTAGTAGTGAAGGCTTGAAGCTCCTGTCTGCAGTACCCCACCCCCACCCCGCAGGAGCAGCCATTCCCTGGGAGCCCCAATATTACAGAGGGGGCAGTAAAGTGCTCCCAGGGGACTCAAGCTGCTACCTAGCTGAGGCAGGGAGGGGCAGAGGTGCGGTTCAGGGCAGCTTTTCTCCCCAACTTCCTACCATGTTATTCTTGGCCCCCTCCAGATGAGCCTGTCTACATTGGGCCCAGGGGTGTGGTTGGGCCTGTGCCTGAACATAGCCCCCATGGCCATGGGCCAGGGAGGAGTCCAGGGCAGAGGAGAGGCAAAGCAGGAAGGAGTGAACCTCAAACTTGGGGAGGGGACCCCTTCTCTTGGGTCCTGCTTCCCCGGGCCTCCCCTGCCCCATCCCAGGAGACCACCAGGAGAGAGGCAAGGTTTCCCAAGTCCAAGGGGTTCAGTTAGCAGGCCCTGAGAGAAGTAGGAGCCCCCTGAAGTGATGCAAGGTTTTGTGTAGTGTGCACATGGGATTCTGGGATAAGAGTCCACACTCAAAAAGGGTTAGGAAGTCTTGCTACGGAGCTGTGGGAGCAGATAGTGAGGACTTGCCAAGGGCACCCTAGGAACTGCTGGGCACTCCTGGACCCCATTATCCCCTAGGAATACTGCTTTGTCTTTGTAGCTGAGGAGGTGGGGCTTGCTGTGACTGGGAATCGCCCTGAGATGACCGTGTGTGTTTCCAGGACAGCCTGACATGGGGACCAACTGACTAACTTTTCATAGTTGTCAGCTGGGAAGTGGGGTGTGTCTCCTACAGTGTCCTCTGTCCCCAGAGTCATGAGAACTGGCCTTTGGGAGGTGAATGGTCTGTTGTTGACTCCCTGTCTGACCATATAGATAGTGAACGAAGGGCTTAACACATGAAGGCGGCTTGTAGGTCAGTCATCAAACACTTGCCAGACAGCCAAGTAGCCAGCCAATCTTCCTTACCCCACTTCCAGCCAGGATACTTTCTGTAACATCAAATCTATGTGAAGAGTCAGCCAGATAAAGTTGACCCCAGACACTGAAATGAGTCAGAAAACACACTAGTGGTCCCTAAGCTCACTGGACCAGGTGGGGGTGGGATCGAAAACTCAGCTGACTTGTCCACATGGGGTTAGTTCTGTGACTGGCCTCTCAGAGTCACTGACGGGGAGGGAGGTGGGGAGAGAGGTGTGAGAGGTGGCAGGAAGAAACCGCATTTGTTGATCTTAACCTTCTGGGTTAAGATCCCTGTTTTATACCTCACGTTTACTTCATGTTAGGAATATTTACTAAACACTTGCTATGTGCCAGGCAGCATTCTAGGAGGGCTACAGCAATGAAGGAAAGGACAGACTCCCTGCCTTGCCCACTGACAAACAAGCATTCTCACAGCCATCCTGCAAGATACGTGGTCTTGCTGCTGCCTTTTATAGGTGAGGACACAAGCTTACCAAGGTCACCCACCCAGGTGTCAGGGGCTAGAATCTGGATCCACCCCCAAGTTCATGCTGTTTCCACCATTCCTGAAATCAAAGCCTTCTCATAGCCAGTTTTCTTTTCTTTTTTTTTTCTGGGTCAGAGTATCACTCTATCACTCAGGCTGGAGTATAGTGGCACGCTCACAGCCACTGCAGCCTCAACCTGCTGGACCCAGGTGATCCCTCCACCTCAGCCTTCCAAGTAGCTGGAACCACAAGCATGTGCCACCATGCCTGACTAATTTCTTTTTTTTTTTTTT